ACAAACACTCGAGCTGCAGTTAGTCGGGTAGTAATATAATAGTCAGAATTTCACAAAATGTATGAAACTTAATTTCCCATATTGTCATCGGAATCATAATAGCGGCTCTAAACTAAATGTATCGTAATCGTGCATTCACTGGTCGAGGGTAGGTTTAGAGTAATTTTTTAGCTTCCTAGTTTCAGATAGGTGGCTAATAGGTACAATCGCCCGTTTTTTGGACGTATCAAAATTTCTTCAAATGTCGACGTTTTAGATCATTATAAGAAAAATTACATTTTTTTCCGTCTGTAGGTATGTAGGTATGCATGTATCTATGTACCTACTATACGTTGGAAATTTTCCGAGGTAACGGATTTTGGATATGTATATTGTATATACCTATTATGCATGCGAAGAAGAAAAATAACCGGTCGGATTTTTGAAAAAAAAATGTTTTGGGCGCCACGACGCAGCGAACTTTTTTTTAAAAAAATAGTCAAAGTTAAAAAACTAAAATAGTTTCTATAAAAGTAGGAACTATAAAAAGCGCATCAAAAGCTGTGGTTAAGTCTCTAAGGAGTACAAGAATTAGACAATAAACAACCCTTCGGGAGCTCTTGTGAAAATTCAGAAGAAGAAGCTTTCGAAAGGCTTTTAGTGCTTTCTAGAAAACCATTTCAGGAATATACCTTAAATCTTTTCTAAAGCTCTCAAGGACCGGCCTTTTGTGCACTCCCTGGAACCGCATACCCTTCGCAATCTTTGACGAGATATATGAGGTTCCTGGAAAGAATAATACAGAACAATCTGGAAAATCCTACAGTCTGCGGAAGGACCGTAAAGAAAATCTCTACAAAGCGTCTACAAGGTTATGTCATGAATCTGAAGAGCTGTAAAAAAGAGCGGAAAAGCCTTCTGCGATTTTTCAGACCCTCCTAAGTATTCAAGAAGTTTCTGGAGGACCTACGTACGTATAGGATATGGTTATTATTTGTGTTTTGCACAAATTTTAGTTTTGTTCCGATTTGTACAAAGAAATCATAAATATTATTTTTATAATATATGTTGAAATTGAAACGGCTGGTAGAGCTAATAATTGGTGTCGGTAGACGATAATTCAGCCAAAGAAAAAAAGGAGCGAGTTTTTAATGCATCATTTTGATAAAATTGTTGACATTTCGTCCGTTAAGACTTTTTGAAAACGTTGACATATTCACATATGTGTTAAAATGTTGTCTTTATGTGGAGGAGGTTAAAAATTGTGATAAATTGAGAATGTGCATTACTGATGCAAATTTATTGATTTGAACAAGTTAAAAAGTTAAAAACGTTCATATTGTTTTCATTTTTCTTTATTTTATGTTGAGCCAAAAGACACCATAAATATTATATTTCCATATTTACTTAGGTATTATTTAAACAAAAACTGAACATAAGGGATCTGTCCTAATTGCTTTATAAAAGGTAATTTATTTTGTGAAAGACCTTTTTCAGAATTTGTTGAAACGCCAAAAAGAATTGGTCAATAAATCTCAAATAATGTCTTTGGCGCCATTTATTGCTTAATATGATGTTTTACGAATAGGTGGCAGGCTAAGAAATTCAGAATTACCATTGAACACAAAACATCAAATTTTACTGCCCATCAGAAAACATCAGTTTTTATTTAAGTATGAGCATTGAAGATTACCTACTGCATGCAACACTACAGCAACTTTATACTCAAAATTAGAGAGAAATATTGGCCGTTGGGAGGCAGAAGTTTAGTAAAGTATTTATTTATTTGTATTTTGCTATAACATTGGCGTAGAGTTCTCGGAGATACTGTTTAACATACAAGTACTCTGTCGCTTGAGACAATTCATCTTCAATATCGCCTAAGTCGCCTGACTTGAGAGCTTTAACTCCGGCTCATTTATTGTTGGGAAAAACGTTAACATCATTACCAGAAGAAGACGGATTCAACGTACCACAAAATCGGCGTAAATTGTACAAGTACTTTTGCAAGCTATAAGGCAACATTTTTGAAACAGATGGTTCAAAAAATATATGTCTGGCCTTCAGGAAGGACAAAAATGAAAATACGAGATAGGACACCTCAATGTTGGATCCTTAGTTCTAATCAACGACGATAATTACTACATCGCAGCCGCTTGGAAAATCCGGTGGCATTTTTTCAACTAGTGGTGGCGTATCGCGTGGGACTTTCAACACCATTATAATGGAAATTGAGTAGAGTGATTGAAGTTCATTAGTGCAGGCAGTGGAAAAGTAGTAGGTACGGGTTGTCAAAACCGAATCGGTCGTTCGCTAAATTATTGTACCCGTTTCCAATAAACGCAATAATTAAGGTGTTAATGTTATTCGCACGTTTTATGATAGGCATTTAGACCCTTGTTATTTATATGTTTTGTTAGTTTCTTGAACTTGATAGTTCAAAGGGGCCTGTGTGTCTAGAATGTAGTTAATATGTAGATCAAGTAGATTTGAAAACTGATAGATGTCAAAATAGAAAACGAAGAAACATAAAATTATTCTCAAGACTGTACATTGGTTAAATCACGAATACGTAACTGCTATTGCATAAATAATAAACAATACGAATGCAAATTTAATGCAGTACCTATATACCTATAACATGAACTATTCGAAGCAGCGTTTCCGTGGCTTGTGCCCACACTAGTTTTTCCGTGGCAAATGGGAAACCGTTTTTCTATTAAAATGCACGCCTTAAAGAACAAATTGATAACTTTTTTATTTATCGGTCGATATAGATGCAAATTGAATCCACAGTAGGTGGTATAACATAGGTACGAAATGAGCTATACGAATTGGGACTTCAATGTCTTGGGTCCACAATAATTTTTCCGTGGCATGTGGAAAATCATTTCCCCATATGAAAATACTATTGCCACGTGCCAAATTCTTGACAAACAGCTTCCTAGCTCAAACCAGATATTAAAAAAAAAGATTTTGACAATCATACTAATGTACCTACGTATGGTCAACATTTTAACGCAATCAAAAACAAAATAACACTTTTGGCCAAGAAAAATTTTAGTTTTTGTCATTTATTTTCTCCGTTTTTTTGTAATAAAACCTATAGCATAAAAAGAAAGTCTTTTGAATAATTTGATTGAAATTTTGCGTTGTTATTTGAAAAAAAATTGCGGTGCTGTTGCGGCGCGCTCTAAAATTTTTTTCAAAAATTCGGCCCGTTATTTTTCGTTCCCGTATGCCTAGTATACATATCCAAAATTTGAACAAAATCCGTCGAGCCCTATCTCGGAAAATTGTCTGCATAGGTACATACCTACAGACGGATCACGGAAAAAATTTTATTCTTTCAAAGCTTAAAATGATCTAAAACGTCAACATTTGATGTAATTTTGACATGTCCACAAAACAATGATCGCAATAACCACCTAGCTCAAGCTAGGAAGCTAAAAATTACTAGGTATTTCCCAATCGATATCAATGAAAATGTAATCGAATAACACACCCAAAAGGGAAGCTTGAAGTTACAACAACTTATATTGATAATATGAATGATTTTACGATACAGCCGCATTGCACGATTAGTGACTGATTTTGACAGTTTTTTACGTTCTTACTGGCAGATGTACGCATGAATCAAACATTTTTAAACCAACTACGTTTTGTTACATGACATTAGTCCTTTACACCACCTTATTTTTGTTTCTGGCTTAGGTGGAATATTAAGTAGACCCTATAGGTTTGATTTTGCTGCACTAATAAAAGCAATTTATCATAAAATCATCAATCAGTAAAAATCCCGCAAGTGAAATTGTATGCAATCAGTGGGAAATATCAAGTCTGTATTCTAGACAAAAAGCGTAAAACTACCTACTCCAAAGTGGGTACTCTATTACACGAAGGTTTTAGATCGGATGGTTAATGATTGAGACTGTTTATTAGTAAATTGGAGAAGATGTTTGATCCATTCCATTATATAGGTAATCGGAGAAATCTGCAGATATATGACTGTGTCACATTGGAAGTGTTGATGTTTTAATTTAGAAAAATCGATCACTTTTCAGAGACTAAATATAGTTAAGAGAAAAAGTCATTTGTTACGCCTGTCGAACTAAATGTGAACAAATTATAGCTGTAACCCTTTTTTTTAATACCTTTACTGTATATGCTACCTGCAATTACAGTTTGTGTCTTTAATATTAGAGGTATGACACCGTAATGTGAACACAATATAAGGAAACCTCCAAATTTAACAGAGTATAGGTAGATTATGTAAGACGAAAGTACAACTAAAAAATTTGTTGACAAATGACAAAATACTATAATACTAAAGCTATTTGAGTGGTTCGCGAAAGTTTGTGATTATACAATTTTTGCGGTGTAGTTATTTAACTCCTAGTAAAAGCATGTCATACTAATTACTTTTTTCTGTCGCGAAATTGATGGGTTGTAAAGTGTTTGGGTAAATAAAGCGGAAGGTACGGTCAATCAATATAGGTAGAAGGTATAGCGGAAATAATTGTGTATGTGTAAATTTGGGGTATAAAAGGGTGTTTGTGGGTAAATTAAGATTCACGAGAGTCGCGCATACTTAGGATCGATTGCAGTGGAGCTTCAGGGAGCGCATGCTCGACCAATTTCAAAATCAAAACTACTCCACAACGGAACCGGCCAATGCCCTTCGGAGCGGGAAGCCGCTACCGGAAGTATTTAGTTTACAGCAATTTGCCTATTCTAGTTTATGAAATGATGCGCACATTAAAAGAGTTGATAGCGCGGCGAGCATGTTGCTATTATAGTTTGTTGGCCTATTTGCATCAATTAAGTCAAAAACATACTTGTTTTCGTCATTTACACCATATACTTCTTAATTTTAATTACAATTACAGATCGTCTTCATACACTTCATTTATTGGTACGACGCGTCTTACGTAAGTTAATTAAGTAACTAAATTTGTCATATACACTTTGCAATAATTTAGTAATTCTGCGTTTTGCGAAATGTAATTAATTTTGCGCACCTTCAAGGATTTTCTCGCCGTAAGTTCTCAGTCGCCAGTTTGTAACACCTTCATGGGCTGGATTCGTTCGGGGTTCATGGGTTGCACTTGCATCTACCAGAGGCGAAGTACCGTACGCTCGAAACATCGCGCATAAATGCACTCATACGGAAACGCTCACTCAGAAATCACGAAGGTTACTGATTAGCTACTGTTCTGATTGCCCCAGAGAACCGAGCGCAAACAATTCTGTCACTGAAATTTCCCCCTACCTCGTACGTTACGTTGACATATACGACTCGTGCGCGTGTCATAAACATGCAAATACTAATTGCATTTAATGCACAACTTTCACTGTACCGCCAAAATTTCAATTTTTTCGTACCAACATCAACGCCCTCTTCTCCGGTTCAAGCGACTAGTCGACAAGGTCGCGTAAAATTCGCCTACTACCCAACTTGGTGGTTCCACTTCCCGCCAGTTGTTATTGATTTAAAAAAGCGCATGCGTTCTTCTCGTAATCCGTGCCTATTAAATTTAAATTCTTATCACATTTGACGCATATACGCTTACGTAAGAAAATATATAGGCCACCTTGAATCTAATTCTTTTTGGAACTATTACAATTAGCACCAATGTGCCAATCAATGGCAGCGGCAACCTTGTAATTTTTCCACGGAATATGGAGTTTTTCCACAATTTGGGGCGCAGTAGGTATTGGCCATCAAATTGCATTTTACCAGTAATTAATTGGACGTAACAACAAATTGTGTTATTGTAAACGAAAGTTGCGCATTCACGATGTTTACGTATATAATCTCATCGGACAAATCCATAATATTTTCCAAACTTCTACACCACCACCACCAATAAACAATAATATCGAAAAATTTTGATAATGATGCAGGAAGTCTGACCGCATTTTGTAATGCAAATAGTAAACCGTTTATTCAATCAGAGATAAAAATGTACATATATTGACCGAAGGTGAGTTAAGAAAACGGAATATTTTAAGTTGCGTGAACCAAAGCATGGTGCAGAGCAAACTGATGAGATTATTATAGAGGAAATTATTATGCACGGTACCCGCACATTACGCCGGCACGATGTTCATATGGTACAGATCTCACGCAACTGATATGACGACAGAGTCAATTTACCGATTAAAGTAGTATATATGAGGAGATGCACAGAGAAATATTAAATGTAATGAATACAAGACACATCCCCGGTCTTGGCGCACCCAACAACAAAAACATCAAATTTTACCAAATTTAGCAACCATTAATTTTGAATGAAAGAAGATATACCTACTGGTAAAACATCGGTAGGACAGTACGGATTTGCACATGGTCTACCTGGAAAAAAAGACGTCATTCGCAATTCTGCGAGATATGACTTTTTATACACGCGATCGCTTTAGAAGTGCACAGAAACATACATATTGTATGAAACAATTAATCAGTTACTTGGTGCACCCTAAAGACATCTTGGCACAACTTGAAAAATCAATTAAATTTTTTCATACAAACCACCCTATATATACTTTGGCATGTTTTGAAAAGAGCGTAAAATATCCGCCAAAACCGCCCAGACATATAAGGTGATCTGTGTGAAAAAATGTAGTATTATAGAGTCGTATAAAAAACAAAATACTCTGTACAAAGACTCCCGATTCTACATAAAAAAGGACCCTTTGCCAAACTTAATTATCCTTAATAATAAGAAGGCATTAAATAAATCGACTAAATTCGAGAAACCTCCCCCATCAGTCAAACGATTATAGAGATAGGGTAGGTACTGTTTTCGCCAATGATTTTCTCGTTGACGCCTCTGACCTTAACTAAGTTGTAACATATTCATTAATCTCATTGTCTTCATTAAACTTCTTGTCAGCGAGGTTCGATTTCAGGTTAAAAACAGGAAGAAGTCACATCATTAACCAATGATTGACGTCCATTTCTTCCTTTATCGTGCATGTTTATACGCGGCCATTCTTGACCCATCCTCTAATCATAAAATAACTCATTACATTCTGCCATACACCTGCGAGAGCTGTTGAGAGCGAATGTAGCAATCAACTTAGGTACATTCTGAACGTCCTATATATATTGTGGTCCAATAATTTGCCTAAAAAAACTGGTCCAGAAAATTAGCTCTCCCGGAATATTTGCTCACAGAAGGTTTTTGCCCCCAGAAGGTTCCCCTTCGGGAAGGAGGTTTCAGAGGCGAATCTTCCTACAATCAAGTCCTAAAATACAATACAGTGCAACCAAGTTCAAGTGACTGATAAATGTACCCAAAGTAGAAAGGGAAATTCTGTACCTATACTATCAACCCACTATATCTAGCATTTATGTTAAACGACCTTAGGTGGAACTTTACTCATTCCGGTGAGAGTTTTCTACACGGGAAACAAGTGCGGGGCGAATATTCCGAGGGCGACTTTTCAGAGGCTCACAGCCGGTTCCTATGATAAGCATTTATCTATCAGCGTTAAAACGCTCTCATTCTAAATACGGGGTGTACCGTAACACTCCCTCCGACAAACAAACAACAAAACAATTTATACTGTTGCGAAACTACCCTCTCTAACTGTATTAGTATGGACTTTCTGATTTCACGAATTTCCGGATTCCCCAATAATTTTCGCTGGCGATCATTTGGGGAGTAATTTTTTTCTCGGAGGAACTGGCTAAGGGATGTTGGAAATATTTGAGCAAGAAGATTTGTACCTACCGTTCGAAATTTATGACTTTCTGCGTTATTATGTAATTTCGTATTACTTTATTGCGCGCTTTTTCCAAATGTTCACGGCTAAAGTTATGGAACGAGATTTTAAAGATTCGATATTCCATAAACGATCAAGTGACGTTGAAATTTCTCTCATTAGAAATATTGACGATGGTGAGGTAGGTACCTACGGTTTCTTGATACGAGTAACAGTTGTATAGTTAAGGATTCACATCCCAAATTTGGGTAACTGCGAGGGGTGGCTTACTAACCATCGAATTGTGCCACAATGGCACAATCTGCCTACAAGTCAATTAGGTCATGATAATCCTTGAAACGATGTAAACTAAAAGTGACCCCCAACGACTCCTTTTCTTAAGTGAAATATTTAAGAGTGTTGGATAGCTTCCTAGAAGCAAAGGCTATGGGAGTAAAACTCCCAAGATCCCTGTATTACTTACGGTCCGAATTATGAATTCTGTGGAAAAATTAGGGAGCCGAAGAACAATTGATTTTTCAATTACGGTGAGATGTTCTGCAGTTATCTCAAAATTTGTAGGATTCCTATTAAAGTTATTGGAAATACTATAGTTCTGAAAAATTTGGTATATCGATTTTTTTAAAGTAGTTAAATATTGTTTGCTAATTTGTTGTATGCAATGGATCATATATTGTATTAATTCATTAATTGTGCGTTAACCTACAAGCAATCTTTTCCCAGAGTCCTTTGCAGAAACAAAGAAACATAATGGGACTCCGAACAACGTATTATGTCATCCTTTAGTAATTTCCAAAAAGGTGTCCCATTTGTTCTATGAGGATTCGAGAGGGAGGGTTTACCGAATATTTATGGCAGCATCCTTTCTTCTTCGTCAAGATGTCTGAGAATTCGGAAATGATTGGCTGAAGTTTCGATTATTGTTGAAATTTTACGGACATTCAAAGTTAATTTATTGGATAGTGACACTACCAAAGGGGACCGCTATACACCTTCCAGAATCCAGTAGGTAATCCTAGAACCCTAATGCTAATAATTTTAAAATCAACTTATTGAGGATTCTCTTTGTCCGAATTTGAAAACTGAAATTAGCTTTTTTGGAAATCCGTTATTCCTTTGCATACGTTTAGGGCTATGATCTATTATAAGGTGCGCGTAGTTTCTGCAGAATTTGCAAGCTTTCCGCCCTCGCCTACCATATACATCCTGTGCGAGGGAAATCAATTTGCTGTAAGGCTGGGGAATATATGGATGATTATAGATGTAGTGCACTTACGGTAAATTATAGACAGATGTGGTTGGTTTTTAGTAAAGTACCTATATTAGAAGACCAAAAAGTACTTAGATGCAGTGTGTGCTTCTGGATAATTAAGACATCAAGGAAATGCTTCAATTTTAATATCAGAAGAAAAAGATTGAAAGGATTCGGGTGCACAGCTATTGGATTTTAGGATAATAACGTAGTATAGGAGGCATTGTGTGAGCTTCCTTCGATTAAAAATTGAGAAAGACAAATCGCGAACAATTATACACACATACGCACGGAAAATCATTATAAACAGCGTATGATAATACCAAAAATTGTTTGGCCTAGTAGAATTGTTTTAATCAGATTGAACAGATATGCATGCACACGATATAATTTAACCTTCCAAATAGCAGCAAAAACAACTAAACGGTTGTTTCTAAAAGGTAAGTAAAATTAATTGCATATTAAAAATTTAGATAAAACCATACTGTGCTACCCATATTATTACCAATAGGGCCGAACATTAAAAAAAAGAAGCCTACACCGATGAGAGCCTTGTGCAATAATTTCATATCACTTGCATTAATAATAATTAAAAAATATGCTGCAAGAAGAGTAATGTTTCCCGAACTTGAAATTGAATATTTCGACACATGAAAAAATTAGTTAAGAGCATGTATAGTACAATTTATTACCCTCATACAATTGCGTAATGCGTGGATTAAATAATAATTTATAAGCAGTTTTATGAAATATGTGAATGTGTCCGAAAGTAGGCCGACAATTTAAATGTAAAAAAAGACAATAGGCGTTCTCTTTGAACAAAATTTTTCCCCAGTTCACAAGTTGTGGGTGGAATTTCATTATTGTGCCATGAACCTGCAGCAAACAGGATTTTTTCTATCCAATGAGATGAGGTGTTAAGAGGGCTTGACAAGAAAATCCAGGTGCCAAATTCTTGTCACAACAGATTCCTAGCTCAAACCTGATATTAAAAAAAAGTTTTTGACATCAGTCTTACGCATCCTTCATGCCAATATTTTAACTAAATCAAAATAATCATTTTGGCCAAAAAAACAATTTAGTTCAGCCAAGTATGCCTAATATATTTATCTAAAATTTGAAGAAAATCCGTTGAAATCTCGAAAAATTGGCAATTTACGTCGTTGTCAAAAATAATGTCCTTCCTCAGATAGGTACCTCGACTGTAGAAAGGGTACTAATATACCAGTTCCTCCGTGATTTAGTTCAATTATTTCATTTCAATCTTGGAGACTTTCATCATTTTGAAAAGAAGCTCAACACTCACAGGAGATTTATATATTAATTATAAATATAGGTATGCTATATACACTTGGGATAATCGAGGGACACAACTTTTAACAAAAACCGTCCATACATACAGACGGAAAAAATGTATTCTTTAAAAGTTGGCCAATTTGATG